AGCCTCACGCAGCCCCGTGCTGGGGTGCCCCATCTCCACCAAACGTCCTACCCCCGGTCTTCACTACTGTTGCCGGCTGGCTACGGACATGTGTGCAAACCCTCAGCCAGTGAAAGAGGAGAACCAGTGCCTGCTCCATAACCCAGCGGTGCTCCGTGAAGAACAGGAGGGAGACAGCAGCCCGGGAGGATGGGCAGAGAGACAGCACAGAGAAAGAGCAGAGCTAACGAGGCTGCAGGGACGAGCTCCGCCGGCCAGAGCCTCCCTCGGCTCTCACTTCCCAACTGCATCTTCCGAGAGAGAGATGGGGATGGGACGGCCCGGGGGGGCTGCCAGCCAGGCCCCTGCCCTGCTCCCCCAGCCCCATCTCCCAGCGCTCCCAGCTGGGCTCTGCCCCCCACCGCCCCGTCCCCCTCCCCAGGCCTGGGGCTGAGGGGTGCTGCCTGGTCCCCAGCTCTGTCCCAGCTCTCCTGGCAGGGAGGCCCTGCTCGGAGGGGAATCCTCCCTGCACCGTTTGGGATGACGAGGGTAACCAGGAAGAGGCTGGCCACCTTAGGGGGTCCCTCAGCCCCAGGGAGGAGGGGAGGAAGGCAGCGATACACAAGGCATCACGTCCCTCCCTAGCAGGGCCAAGCTGATGCCAGGGGACAGCCATCACGGCATGGGTGTCCCAGGACATTGTGAAAACCCTCCTTCCTCTCGCAAGGAAAACCGATCAGCTACGGAGGGGCTCTCCAGCACCCCCGAGCAGGGCGGTTACCCCAGGGTGGGAAGCTGAGGCCTGGCTAGCCCTGCTTCATGCACCGCTTAGCTGCAGCAGGGAGAGGACAGGGAGTCCCAGCCCTGACCCAGCCTGGCCGAAACAGGGTAAGGGAGCAGCCGGGGCCCGGGAGCATCCCCTGCAGGGCCTGGGGGGACGGGGAAGCAGAGACCACGGCAGCCCCGCGGTCACGGGCCGCGTGGCGGGAGCAGGCATGGGCTGTGGCCAGGGAGCTTTCCGCAGCTCAGTTGTTAAGTTCGGTAAGGATGACCCGCAGCTCGTTAGTGAGAACGCGGTTTTTCTCGGCCTCCTGCCTTGAGCGCTCTAGAGACAACGGAGACATCAGCGCAGCAGAGGGGAAGAGAGAGAGAAAGGAGAATTAGCGAAGAGACAGCAGTCCCGAGCGAGAGACCTCGGCGGGAACCCCGCGGCGTTGAGCGGGGGCCGGCGGGAGGAGGCGGCAGGGCCCAGGGCAGGGCCGGGGCCGGGGGTCCGTCTGTTTGGGGAGGGGCGGTGGGGCAAGGTACGACGTCGAGGAGGAGGAGGAGGAGGATCCACGGAAGCTGGGACCCCGTTAGGGCCAGGAATCGCTGCTGAAGGGCAGGGTCAGCCCTTTCGACAGGGAAGGGTGATGCGAGATGCCAGGGCTGCGGAACCGCTGTTTGCGGGCCGCGTCTGAGAGCGCGGGTGGGGAAGGGGCAGGAGCAGGTCTAACCCTATTTCAGGCCACAAGAGTGATGGAGAGCAGGTCTTGGAAGGAGGCAAAAGATGAGGAAAGCTGT